AGACGACATCAGTTGCTCTTCCCTTCTCCACTGAGGCTGTAACCCCATCATAGAAGGCCAACAAATTTGTCAGGCACGTTTTGCCCTTGGTGAAGCCATGTTGGCTGTCACCAATCACCTCCTCATTCTCCATGTGTCTTAGTACAGTTTCCAGGAGGACCTGCTCATGATCCTGCCATGCATGGGGATGAAACTGACTGGTCTGTACTACCCTTTTTTCCCTTTTTTAAAAAACGGGGGTTATGTTCCCTCCTTTCTTCTTCCCTCTTGTCTTCATCCCATGTACATACTGTTCTGAATTAAGCTTGTACATCAGCTGCGAAATACAAGAGCCCACAGAACCACAAAAGGCAGTTATCAATAACTTCAACACACCTGAAAATGGATCCAGCCATCAACAGTCAGGAGACACTCCCGATGCTGGACTTCTATATCCCCACCAAAAAGCAAAATGGGAAAGGGGGATATTAAAGTAGTCTCTCTCAAAAACACCTTAGTGTACCTCACCTGCATATAAACAAACACAAGCATTAAAAACAACAAGAAACCCCAAACCACAGAAATCTGTAACACCAAGTAAGATTGCTACTTCTAAAAGGAAAAAAGTAGCATGTTTTGCTTTTAAGATCTGATCGACCCAAGTCATTGTACACAGAACAACCAATGAAAATTTGTCTGTCCTGGACCACACAAAAGACATCACCTCTAACCAAGAGGCTTATATGCTACCAGAAAACTAGTTGCAGCTACAATTTTCTTGTTAAAATTCAAAGAGAAAGGTAACATTAGCCTAGTGCTGTTCAGAGAATAATCAGCATCCAAGTTAATAAACCCCTCAAAGTAGAAGGCAGGTAAAGCTCCTCCGTTACACATCCTTCTCGGGAGCAGCTGGTTTGTCAGTCTACGCACATGCATAAATGCGGGCACATGTGGAGGCACACACACAGCGTGAACCACGGGGCTCAGCACCTGCTACTTCTGGCTTTGCAGCCTCTCACAGATAAAGACAGGATGGGATGGGAGAGGAAGGGAAACAAAAAGTATGCGTAGAATCACAGAATGGTTTGGGTTGGAAGGGACCTTAAAGACCATCTAGTTCCAACCCCCCTGCCATGGGCAGGGACACCTTCCACTAGACCAGGTTGCTCAAAGCCTCATCCAGCCTGGCCTTGAACACTTCCAGGGATGGGCCATCCACAGGTTCTCTGGGCAACCTGTTCAGAGGGCACCTTCACAGAGAAGGCTTTGTTTGTTCCACTGTTCACAGAATAACTTACCCACCTTAGCTGCTGTCTTGCCCTTACACTACACGATTGTTGAGGGCAGGAAATATTTTCTGCTCTCAGAAAATACTATCACTTCATATGCATTAAGGAGTCTAATGTATTTTCCTGCTTCTCTGCAGTGAAGTTGGCCATTAGGCAACTGGTTTTGTTGTACCAGAAGTGTAACTAAGTATGAAACCAGGGGTTTAGCAAATAGCTGACAGAATTTTCAGTTGTGAGGGGGAAGAATGTGACAGGAAAATAAAAAAGGGCAATTAAATCAGGAAGTTCAGGAGTCAATTACAGACTTGGCTATTCCATTTTAAGTTATTATTGGGTAGTGTTTTGAAACCTTGGAGTCTGCTCAGAACAGTAAAAAAGAAAAAGCACACTTTGAAATGTTACTGCTATGTATCGCTGCTGAAGGTGATCATATTAAAACAGCACTTTGCTAAAAAAGCCAACAAAACTATTACGTTAAATGACACTCAGAAATGTACTTCCATTCATAGCTCCCAGATTCAAGATGAACAGATTTGTTCAGCCTTAATTTCTTTTTCTTCAGCACACAGCTGACTCATTTTTATGGATCATCAAATATCAAAGGCTCTTAAGGTGAACAAGACATTCAGATAGGCTTGAGTGGTGCGTATGTTAGAGACATAAATTCACCTTTACACAAAAGGATCAGCAACATCCACTATTTTCACTCACCTTCTCCTGGTAAAGGAGCCAGCCATATGTCTGCAAGTCTCGATTTACAGACGATGGATGCACTTGCGCTTTCCCCTGAGCAGTTTCTGCTATGCAGGCCAACTTCTCTGTAATATCTACCGACTTTGTATATATTATTTTTCCTACATTGTCATAGAGTCCTGCAGTCAACACAGCTTTAAGAAGAGCTATTTCGTGGAGAGAAAGGGGTTGCGTGGCTCCGTTTCCATCACATCCACGTTGCGCTGTAGGTGCTGCGAACCCGGCTGCTTTGACCACCCTTATGAGTTCTTGCTTCACATCCTGAAATCAGTGAGGTATTAGTAGAACCCCGAGTTTAAAAAAGGTACATATTCCACTCCATCAGCGAGCAATGACACTCCATCCTAAATATTCATGCTCTCCACGGGAAAACCTCTTAGTATGAAAACGATTTTCTGCAACCACTCTGGAATATTAGCTGTTTCTATAAGAAAAACACTATCTGGAGTATAGGATTAGATATGTGGTACTATATATACTTCAAATACTGAATCTCTCACCTGGAGTTAATATAAAAACATACGTTGGTATCAACAATTGATTTCTGCTTCAGAGAGCTCAGTCACCCAAACTTCCATAAGGAAGGCCAGTTAAGAACACTTTCTCACCAAAAATAAAAGGCCATTTACACAGGTTTGTAGCTCATCTTTAAACTAACTGTCCCTGGATATCAAGAACACCACAATCCAAGTATTTTCATTCCTAAGTTTTGGTTCTCTGGTGGAAATAAGGACTAGCTTCCCCAATGGCAGTGACTACAGAGGCATATGCAAAGCGTACGTATCAAAACCCAAATGTAGACACAGCTACTTAACTGAGGGTGTGAATTTCAGTCCCTAGCATTCCACTTGACTTAGTCTTGTCTAAATAACAACTGTGATATGTTGCCTCTTTAATAGGGATGACATTTTCAGAGGGAAATTTTAACAAATACTTTTGGGTGCAGAGAGCATAATTATTTACCTCCAGAGTTAACAGTGAGGTCCTATTAAGGAAATTTCTTCTACAATAAGTAATTTCAGCACGATACCCGCCTTCTTGTCGAGCCCTTTTCCACCTAAAGAAAAAGTCCTGTCTTATTACAGCAAAAGAATCACATCAGGTGTATAACAACATGAAAGTGGTAGTAAGCTGAAAGACAACACAGTTTTTGACAGCATTCTCGACGCTAAACTAGAAATAAAGTAGCATTAATGAAGACGAATGCTGCTGGTCTGAGAGCACTCTGGAGAACTCTCCTGTAACATGAATTTGACAGGTAGCAACAAAAATCCAAGGTGATATTCTCTCAAAAATTACACACTCCTGTCCATCTTAACAGCTAAAACAAAAAACTCAGGTGTGGTTTCTGAGAATTAGTGATAATTAAAAATAAAAAGAAAAATATGTACAAAATTTTATAAGATACGCATTTTTTACTTTTGCAAATACAAGGTCAGGTCAGCACACCAGAAACAGCAAACAAAATACCTCTAACACTAGGATAAACAGACACGGTGCACCTCTGTATGGGTGCACGCACAGTTAAAAGGAGTATTAGGGTAAGGCTGTAAGCAAGCTATCCTTTTGTGTTACAGTATTTGGCAGTCATTTGTCACTTTTAAAGAGGACAAACTCCAGGTGCAGGCAATTAAAAAGAAGGTACTGATGAAGGGTTCTTTACAGGACTACATTACTTAAGTGTTATCTGCATCTAGCTGTAAGCACAGGAGAATTATCATTTACCCCAGGTAAGCATTGTAGATTGTTATGTGGTCTGAAACTGCCATTGCTAGCGACGATTTTGCAAGATCGGCTTCATCTTTTCGACCAATTGGTGTAGTAAATGGGGATTTTTCTGTCATAACAGCAGCCAGAGTTGCCTGTAATTAGTAAAGTACACATCACTTAAGAGTATTTTATTATAAGCTTACACGTTCATCATACAAATAGCTTTAACAGTAATATTTAATGACACTTTATTTTATATTCTACTGTCTCAAAGAAAACTTACTACCATAAGAATTTCCCACACAGAATTCAGAACTTAGTTATATTAAAGACATTGCTTACATAGTGCCTTATATACACTGGGAAAAAAAAAATTAAGTCTCAAAACTCATGCACATAACCCAAAATCCATGGAGTGGTTTATCAAATGACAGACCAATACCCAACTGGATACAGTAAAGGTCAGACTGAACAAATACTTTAGATTATACCACATTAACAGGAGATACTGAGAGAAAATGAATTTTAACTTTCAGTTTTCAGCAACTAACAAGCATTCTTCCTCCTAATAAGCAGTAAGTCAGATGAATTAGGTGAAAGTGTAAACTATGTGACATTCATAGCATAAGTTACCACACCAATTAATTTGCAATAGCTTTACATCCACATGTTCTTGTCCCACAGACAGTGGAGTGATCCACACCGGTGTAAGCCACATGTAAGGGGGCTTTTTCTAAATGTCATACTTCCTGGGACCATAATAGAACTGGAGACCAAGTCTGACCATCCCCTTGTGAAGGGTACCCAGAGCGCAGAAGCAAAGACTCATGTAAGTTGGTAAAGACCTTTAAAATCATTGCGTCCAAGCACAATGAACACTTCAATATTGTTCCCTCCCATGATGTCCAGATGCCCTCTCCTTAAAATAAACATTTTAACTTTTTGCGTTATCCTTTCAAAATACCACGTTACAATTAATCAAATTTCTTGCAAAGAGTTAAGCACTTCTATACGTTTTCTGTTTTTGTTTGTTTGTTTTTTTTTTTAAATTTATATATATACATTTTTAATTTTGTTTTTTTTACTCACCACAGGATCCAAGCAGCCAAATATAGCACCAAATATGAGCATTTTGCCAATCTTTACATTGACAGGCAGGGCTGCTAGGTGCTGTCCCAATGGAGTCAGCTTGGGCTCATTTAAGAGACAAGCCCCGATCTTCTTCAACAGGTTCATTGCATTACCAATTACTTGCTGCTGTGGTGGGTCTAATGCTCTGGAAAGGAAATCTTCAGGAGCACCAAGATTGCATTTCTGTGGAGCAAAGGGGCATATATTTCGATATAAAAATTTATTATAAGCAGACTTACAGTAGATAGGAAGGACACTGGAAAGTTCTTTCAAAAGGCCCCGTTCCCTCCCCTCTAAACCAGCCTCTTGGCTCCCAGAACGCAGACATGCCTGACATTAGGTGAGCAAAACTTCATTGCCTGGAAGGACTTCGTCTGGCACAAGCCCTGATCAGAGAACCACGTTACTGATGGTCGCAGATGAGCGGGAGACACTCAAACCTGATGAGATGCAGCTCAACCCGGCACTCGCTTGCCAGATTGCTAGTTTTCCTATGCATATCCTACTCACTCAGGATGGGGATAGAGGGAATGGGATTGCTTCCTTAAGCAGAAAATCAGTTTAAATGCTATTTGACTAAGTTTGAACTGTCACTCTGAGGGAAACTGGAATAGTATAGTATGCTATTCTCACTCAGCAGCATGTTCTGGATTTTCCAACACACAGGTACTGGGTTCCTCCCTGACCCGGTGGGAGAAGCCCCACTAACGACACCAAATTAGGGTGGTCCTAGCAAACTTTTTTAGCTAAAAAGATCAGCAATTCCAAAACCAAAAGCACGTTTATGAAGGTGCAGTGCCTCCAAAGGCACGTGAAACATTTTTAGCCAACGCGGTCAGGAATTCTAAAACCAAAACCATACCATAATATGAAGGCATAATTCCTCCAAAGGCACACGCAGTATTTCTGGAACAGAATATTCCATGAAACTTTCAAACCTGTGACATCATAAAAACACAATCACAGATATTCAATTTAATGTCTGAATTCAGCATATGAACTCAGGTTTCACATGCTCATTCTTTACAGATGTTCTTTGGAATGGCAAGGGCAGGGAGCGGCAGATGTTTCAAGGCACGGGTAAACCGTTCATCCTTTGAATTAAAGCATGTGTGGTAGCTTGGAATGCAACAGTTTTAGTGAAGAAGAGGGAAAGGCAGCAACGGCCTGATTTTTCCAAACAGATTATTAAAATGCACAGCTCTCAAATTTAAAGTATTGCATGTGACTTACACGTGGTTATTTCAAAATCCTTCTACCTTAAGTGTTTATCAGCTGAAAGCTGCTTCAGACTTTGAGACAGGCAGGAAAAGGTTATTCCACTGCAGTAATAGAAACTAATTCTGCAGTGCTGTATAATTTGATTTTTTTTCCTCCATCTCTTATCCATAGGGATATCATGTCAGAAACTTACAAATCCATCTGATAAAAATTTCAAAGTTCAGATTTGTGTATATTTGACACTGGGCAGTAGATGTTGTTAAAAACTGATCTTCTACAATTCCTTGGTGCTACACTTTTCCTTTAATTGTAAAAAATTTTTCAAAACACGTTATAGATACTAAGAATAAACCATTTAAAATCGTGAAACAAAGATTATTAGAACACTTGATTCGTAAGAATTTTTTTTTTAGTTTAATCTTTCCAGTTCACAGAGATTAAAGTGAAATTCAAAAAGAGTGTTTGTTTTTGCACAAAAGACAAAAGATATTCATGCGATTTACAAAATCTTGCTAAGTTTACCGTACCTGTCTCTTGTGTACATTCGGAAGCAGAATCCATCCCTAACACGGCCAGCTCTTCCTTGTCGCTGCAGAGCACTAGCTTTACTAACAAAGGTCTCTTCCAGGGAACTCATCTGACTGCTCTCGTGGTACCTTAAAAATTGTAAAGCAAGTGCCCAGTCAGATTTCAGAAATAAAATTTTCATGTATAGTGAAATAGCAGCATATTGACAATATATCAAAACAGTATTAATTTGAAAATAACATATTTAGTTTTGAAAACTAAGCATAACTGGAGGAAACTGTACATCATAGAACCTTAGATACAACTCAATAATGAAAGTGTAAAAGTTGGAAAATAAGAGCTATTGTATTATTTCATCTCTACAGCAATTCAGAATTGTTCTGACACATTCTGTGGGGCTTTTCACATTTAAAATGGACAAAAAAATAACTTCTTGAAACTGAGATAGCATAAAAAGGATCTACTTTATTTTTAAACCAGTATTTAATTCTGATTCTCCAGATCTATGAACAACGCCCCTTGCTGTAATTCCCATCATCTGAAAAAACTAAAGATTCATACCAAACTTGTACCTAAACTACAAGCTGTGCAATGAGCTTAGCACATTTTTTTGTCCAGACTGCAGTTTAATAAGGATACTACAAAATTCTTGCAGCACTGACCTCCAAATATTTACAGTAATCACAGTAAGATTTATGAAAATCAAACTCTCACCTATTTTCTTTTGTTCTCCCAGTATCAATTACAAATACAACATCAGGTATCGTAATACCTGTCTCTGCTATATTGGTTGCCAAAACAATCTGTAAAGAAGTAACATAACAAATAAAAGAATCACGGAATGTCTAACAGTTTTCATCATTTTAATCAATATTATAGAATAAGCTTGGTTAAAATTTTTTACACAGCAATGTTTCCTTAAATAAACTGACAAAGCATTAAAAGCTACACGACTTGGAAAATGGTTTCGTCTTCCCCAGTTATGGAGGAATCAGAAGTTAAGTGAGAATTTTGCATCCATTTCTTGTTTTATAATCCATCAAAAAACTATCTAGTACCTGCCAAAGCTGGTGAACCTTTAATTAAAATAGGTTTGGCATAAGTAAAATATTATTTTCCTAAATACAAGCTACAGTTGCTGGTTAACAATTGTTAAAATATAGGAAAGCAGTAAGTAAAGAAGCTCTTAGAAAAATGTTAGGTTTATTTGTCTGATTACTGTTAAGGTTTTCATAGACTGCTACCTTCAATCTGTTACGGAGCACCAAATCAGAACACTTGTTCCTTTACAGCGAGAAAATTCCAGGAACAACTGGTTATGTGATTCGGCATGACTTGATCTTAAAACACTTCAGAGTTGCACCCACAGAAACTTTTCTTCTTTCAGTGGTGAACTCTGCCTTTCTAAATATATCATACCTTTCTAATACCAAGAGGAGGTATTGTGAATGCAGCTGCTTGATCTTGAGTTGAAAGAACAGAATGCAAAGCTATCAACCTGTGCCTAGAACAAGAAATTACACTATTCAGTTTACACTTATCAGATTAAGATACAGTAAAAAAAAAAAATGAGACCAGAATGACGACAACAGTTTGGAGAAAGCAACTAGGATGGACACTTGAAAGTGTTTCTATGATTAGGTATGAAAGACTACTTCATTGTTTGGCTACAACATCAAGAAAGGATAACACGACTAGTTGATACGGCTGTCCTCCTGTGTGGTAATAAAACAGGAAAAATACTGCTACTGCAGAACGCTAGGCTAATTTACATCAACTGCCTAGCAAAAATGGGAACTGGGTGTCCATGAACCAGAGTTCTTTACATTAAGCTTCCCAGACACAGAAACTTTTCACAGAACTGTAAATACGCACAACTTTCCACCTGAGTAATAAAGGTCATCAGAGATAAGACAGCCACAGAAGTTTGTACTTCTCTTGTAGGCCTTGAGTCTCAGTCCATCAGTTAGCCTTCAGAATTTGACTGCAAATGTTCTTTTTATGCCATCACGTTGCTAACTTTTAGCTCCCGTCTCTGGATCTCTTCTCAGGAAGCAGTCACTTCCATGTAAACAGTAAGACACAGAAAGCTATATCCCCCATATGGCTGCACTCCAGAAGTGGAAGAGTAGTAAACAATTTGTGATTAAGTTTTTTCTTTTTCATTTTATTTTTCAACAAACTTATTACCATACCATTCCTAACCACCTGTCAGTTTTGCATGTATCATTTTTAGATAATAAAAGTACATTTGTATCACAAATGGGTCAGAGGTATAACTCTCAGTTTCCCTCTTCAAGAATACCAGTCCTTAAAACCTAAACATATTAAGTTAAACTATTTACCTTATAAGAAACTATCTGCATTACCTGTCACGCAAGTTAAACCTTCTGTCGGTTGAAATGAGATCATACAGCTGTTGGATATAGGCAAGGCCTGGTAAAAAGATCAGTACAGCACCCTCAACGTTCTTGAACTGGGGACTTCTATCTGGAAAATCACAGTAACAGGCACAGCGTTAAACATGCATCTGCAAACAGTTTCGCTTGAGCACAGGAACTAGTTCTGCACCCTGCAGTAAACACTTTAAGATGTGTCATGCAAGAATGAAGTCAAGTACTTCATTTGCCAGTGCTTTCTGCTGATAGTAAGTCAAAAGGACAGCCCCAAGGATATAAACTTCAGTAGTAGACTGTACCCAAGTATGCAAGGAGCTCCAAAATAAGTTCGAGGTTGATCTTGTAAGGGTTCATACAGAAGACAGCTTGCTGTGTGCGACTGCTATACTTTGCATAGTAAGGAGCCAAATCAATACCAGATCCAGTCTGGATTGGGACATACTCCTAAAAAAAGAAGAGCAGGAGAAAAAAACACCCATATTCTCAATGTTTTAGAAGGAGGCAAGGTAGCAGAAGGTCAATTTGTTATTCACTTAGTTTAGGAATCTTAAAACAGAATTTGAGATAAGAGACATTTAACTGACTAACTTCGCACCAAAATCCATGTGAGTCAGATTAAATCACAGCCACCTACATAACCTGTGTATAGGCATCTACTACCATTAAATAACAACCCAAACAAAAAAAGTAGTAAAAAACTGAAGTGTGCAAGCAGCATGTGTTGGTTCAGCCAGGAAAGAGTTAACTCTCTTTACCATGGCTGCTAGGAAGCTGTTCCTGGATGCAGAGAGCAGCACTGATAAGTTCTCAGCTGGCGCTGGTGAATGCCTGCACTGAATTCAATGATGATGGGGAAGGCAGGATGTGGTCTACCT